TTTTACCCATCCATTTGTTAAAGATAAGACGTGCTTATGTTAATTAAAAATCGCACAATCTTCTTTTCCTTTCCTTTATCGTACGAAAGTATTAGATACATGTAATCATCTTAATTTAAAAAAGAAATAAAGTAAAAATTTTTGTGTTCGCTTGTTAAAGTAATATTACGTAAAAAGTATTTGTATAACGCCATTTTATTTCCCAGCATGCACGTATCTTTATGATGACTTCCGTTTAAAAAGGTTATTACTCTTAGCAATGTCATATGTTTTCGCGACCAATAATGGCTAAATCAAGCTGTGTAACCAGAAGAAGTCAAAATAAGCATATTTTGTTTAGAACATTATATGTAATATATCTAACCGAAATACCAAAGCTGGGCTTTTTTACATAATTAATTATCAATTTTCAATGTTATTCATAGGTCTAACTACGAATAGTACATGTATTAACATAGCAGTTTCCGTGATGGCAGTATCTAACTCTCTATCATAAAGGAGTTTTACGCACCTAGGGTATCATGTTACAGTTAAAGTCATCCAGCTACATCTTCCATCTTTTTCCAAATTTAATGTAATGTTTATACATATTTTATCACAGTAACATATAGTTAATAAATTTTCATTATCATGAATCGTTTACAACATCTACTACTCATGATTAATGCAATAAATTTCTTTCTTAGAATTTATCATTCTCTATGTACAAGTCTGTCACAGTACGTGGCTTCACCATTCTGCATACGCGAGTGAAATAATTGACATTACGCAAGAGAAGGGATCGCTCCGCCCACGGTCAGTTAGAACCTTAGCCAAAATGCCGTACCGATGTATTCGTAAAACTGTTATGCCACTAATGTTACCAATGAATTGACCTTAAATAAATTTTGCATAAATGAGATTTTAATGCTTTTGATGGTTTTATTGAATAGAGTAGATCTTTCTATTATTCAGTGTATAAATGTATTATGGTTTTTTTAAAGTAAAAAATAATATCTGCATTCGCGTATTCATTATATCTTACAAATTCAAAGAGAGTCTATATGTAGAAAAGAATATGAATATGTTATGATCGTTTTATTTTGAAATTGAAGAAGCGAAACAAAAACAGTACATTTACATTATATAAGTGTCACAAATAAATTTAAAATTATTTTACGGGTTTTATATGAGAAATTCAGTATAGATAATGCATAAATTGTTACAATTGATTCAAAAAAGTGCATGCCCTTGCTAACTTTTTATGATATTTGACTTATGTTTTGTTAACATACATATGATATGATTCACGATAAAACAAAACGTTATTCTTTTTAAAATAAGCTTCACACACATCAGACATGATCGATGTTATTGGTATAAGTTTCGTATTAAGCAGATCTATTTGAATATTTAATATCAATTTATTGAAATTTAATAGATATATTCATGTAAGGTAATTTAATTCATTTTTTTATTATATTTGCTCATTATATTTGCAATTTAACGGCTGCGTTTTTATTGGCGCTATACGTTATAAACGAAAATATGTCATATCTTTATAACCTGTCAATGTCAGTATATTTAGTAACTTAATTACTATATCGATAGAAAATTAAAATAATTTCAATCTCAATTACTTCTGCACCATTCTCTTAGACAAGTAGCTTGTCTAACTTCGCAGGCATCTACGCGTGAGACTGATAAAGATCGCTGATTTGCTTATCTCTTTGACCCCTGCCAGTTTGATTGACAGGCGGCGTTATGTCACACTATGTTCTTATTCTGAAACGAAACCTTCAAAGTTAACCGACGGAGTCGGCGGGGACAGTGTGCATCTAAAGGTTGAATTGACATGTTCGGTTAAAGAAGTCATTAATGTTAAATATCATCAGAACTCATTATTTTGTCTTTTAAATTACCCCCTCTTTCTATCATCTTTCTATCAAATAGGCTGACCTAAATTTGAATTTTTCTGACAGTAATGGCTTTATATTGACGTCGCGTCTAAATGACAAAAACAAAACGTGTCCATACGAAACGTAATCAACGACTTAATCCTAATTATAAAAGAATATACTTCAATTTGCTCTTATAGTTAAGTAAGTTATAGGTAGATTGATAACAATTTGCAACACAAATTTTATTAAGTATTTTTTGAATGAACCTTGTAGTAAAACCCAAAAAATATTTCGTCGTTAACTTGACTTATGGCTGGTAGTTTTAGTAAACCTGTCACGGGATAAAATTTTGCAGTTGAACCCAAGTCGTTGTGAGTCTTTCCTTAATTATTTGGCACATGAAAAAAATAACAATATTGAACATCTGCAATATTCTTTTGTTTTTCGAGTGATTATAATTGGTGTTTTAAAGACGTTTTCGGTAGTTTTCTGTGCGCATCGTTATGCGCTTCCAAGAAAGATAGTCACGGATAATTACTCTTCAAATGAAGGTCAAGTTGAATAGTATTCGGATAAGTGTTTAAATTTCGGCTATAAGCAAATAATGAGTAAATAATACAGAATAGATATTTCTAAATGTTCAAAAGGAGATCGATTCAAAAGATTAAGAGGTCGTTTAGACAACATCACATAAAAGATTTCTCCAAGCATTAGTACGACAGCATTGATGATAATTCTGCGCGCGTTACCCCACCCACTTGTGGTATAGTGATGAAAGTGCGTCGCGACTTCAACTGGGCAAAGAAGTTTAAAATGATATATTTTAAAAGTGTTGAATAAAAAAACAAAATTAATATCTAAGAAATGTTCCGAATTTCATTATTTTCTTTGTAAATTTCTGAATATCGGGTATGTTAGTCGAGTGAAAAAAATAATATGGCCCTAGATATGTTTTAAAAGATATTCAGTATCATTATTTAATATAACATCAAAAGAAAAAGAAATTTTCATTACAAAATGTTTTTGTTGTATATTTGACAATACATTTAGTATAACACTGATATTTCTTAAGAAAGTGTGGTAATTTTGACTGTAACCATACGGTAACCATAGAAACTGCCCGTTTACAAAAAACTAACACGTCAGCATATATATTTTATTTCTATTTTTGAATCCACCATCAAATGTTACTTGATATATTATCAATAATATAGAAAATTCTATGAAAGAAATTTCTTGATAGCTTTAATTTTTTACAGAATTCATGTTTATTTTTCTTATTGTTTTGTTTAGTTAAAAAGCATGAAAACTTATTTTTTAAAGAAATATGTTCCAGTTATCGTTTGTTTTATACAGAACTCTAAGATAAAGCAAGCTTTGTATAAAATTATTTTATTGTGAGTGTAATAAGCTATTTTATACATTATTATAACACAGTTTGGCTATTTTGACAATTTTGAGATAAACGGTAACCATGGAAACTGCCATTTTAAAAAAAAATCCAACACGCCAACATATATTTTTCTTTTTCTTTTTGAATTTGTCATTAAATTTTACACAACATAAAAAAAAATTAGAAAATCCTATGAAACACTTTTTTCAATATCTCTAATTATTCTCAGAATTCATGTTTATTTTTCTCATTTTTTGTTGGGTTGAGGAACATGGAGAACTCATTTTTTAAAGAAATATGTTCAGATTATTATTTGTTTCATACAGAATCATAAGATAAGATTATCTTTGCATAAAACAATGCTCGTTGTGTGTTTTAAGCTATCTTATACATTTTCTATTCGTTATAACACAGTAAGGCTATTTTGACAGTTTTTAGATATACGGTTACCATGGAAACTGCCATTTTACAAGAAATCAAACACGTCAACATATATTTTTATTTTTATTTTTAAATTTGTCATTAAATTTTACTCATCATACAAAAAATTTAGAAAATTCTATGAAAGGATTATTTTTCATAAAATTGTAGAAAATGTCTTTAAAACATTTAGTCATATATGTTTAAAACAGATATTGAGATAAGATATAAAACGCTCTTATGACGTAGGACTAACGACATTTAAAGTATTGGGAAACCTAGATTTAGTTATTATAAATAGGTACACACTTTTTATAGGTGGCGTGGTGACAATGTTTACCTGAACAAGATATGTTTACCTGAACTGAACAAAATGTAACAATCTTTACAAAGAGAACTTAAAGTTTTCTTGAATAGATGATTTAGCTTAAAAACACATGTTTAGATTCAATATTGATCGATATACAGATGATATAGTTACTTTGGATTTTGACTAAACAGTATCATATGAAATAGAGAATTATTCATCAAATAGTTCCTAGTTGTGAGAATTTAAAGATTAAGTGGAATTAATATATACATAAAAACGTTAGACCATTTTCATTTAAAACACAAAAAATGTTACAGAATAATGAAAAGGTAAGATTTTATTTCATCGAAGTTCTGTTAGTACTTTATTTTTACCCATCTGTTTATTAAAGATGAGACGTGCTCATGCTAACTAATAACTATCATGTCATGTTATGTATGTATGTATGTATGTATGTATGTATGTATGTATGTATGTATGTATGAGTGTGTGTGTGTGTGTGCGTGCGTGCGTGCGTGCGTGCGTATGTATGTATGTATGTTTCATGAGTAGAAATATATGTTAATATCAAACTGAAAATTTATATCATTAACAGATTTCACAGCCAAATTTTCAAGCAAACAGATTGTTTAACTCATTGCAATGTACAAAATCAAAACAGCAACAAAAGCAATAAAATCGAAAAAACAGAAACGAAAACAATAAACAAAACGAAGTATAACAGTTTAAAAATTCCATTTATGTCCAATCATAGGTGTTCGGCGCGTTGATTGGTCACTACCCTCGCACCCCACCCCCTCCTCACCCCCACACCCACTCTACAGCCCTCCTACCTCTCAAAACAATGTACAATACAATATTTTTCATTTGAAACATGTTTTAATATTTGGTTTATGCTTTTAATTCAATAACCTTCATTTCTTACAAAAAATAAAAAAATGATACATATACAATGTATATTTAGTAAAGGTATGCAACTCGCCGCTCAATCTTCAGCACGCATCTTAATATGAACTCCATAACTTCAACATTTTTTCACCAATTTTCAATATCTTGGTACCAAATGGTAGGGAATTGATTACTCTTAAAGGAAATAAAGCTGTCATTACGATCATTTCAAGTTATCAGAAGATGTGTAATCTCAAAGTCACCGCAAGTGTAACTCAACAGAGATCTGACCGCTGGGTTTTCTTCAAAATTACCCGACTAAACGGCAGTTTATTCAATATGAATGAATATTTCATTGTATTGCGCATATAAATATGATCAAATTATATTATTATTTGTAATAACTGTTCAATCAAAACATCTTATAAAACTATAACCAACCTTTTTTCCTATATGTTAAATTCCAAATTATAATGCAAGTAATAGTTCTACAGAGTGCTCTCCTCTTAATGTTTTGTACGGAGTATTTTCATTGGTCTAAGGTTTTCACACGACCAATGAAAATACTCCATACGAATGCTTCCGTTTATACATGTGTACTTTCATTTTGGATTGGAGAATTTGGCATATCGGAAAAAAGGTTTGTTATGTGTCCAATACGATATTTGACCTATTACGTCTTTTATTTATAATATCTTACAAAATTTGAAAATGTGTCTAATTAGAGTTTTATTTATATTTGATGTTAACTTAAGATAAAACTAAATTGAACATATTGGCATAATATTTCTTCAGCTACAACAAGTAAAATTGTTTTTGTGTATATTTATAACCTGTTTATTTATAACCTTTAAAAAATCCAAAAAAAGCTATTTTTAGACAGTCTTAGGGGCTATTGGTACTTTGCGAAACGGAACGAAACGAAACGGAACGGAACGAGGGGCACCATATAGGGAAATTTAGAATTCTAGTTTTAATTTGGAAAATCAATATAATCATAATAGTAAATAAAATGAACTCTTTATAATCATAGTCGAATGATGTTTAATGTCCAATGAAACTCATAATACGCAAAACATTAATTTTTAATTAATCTTGTTCCGTTACGTTACGCAAAGTACCATTACCCACACGGGTATTGGTATTGTGCGGAACGGAACGAAACAAAAATTAAAGGGGTTAGATATATCGGTGAAAAGGAAATAATCTTTTATTTGTAGTTAAAAGCATAACACTGAATGATTATAAATCGAACATCTGTTAACGAGCACATTTGTATATGAACCACAGAGCAACCTTATATTATTTACCGGTCCGGATATATAAAGTCTTGTAAACAGTACTAAACATAAGCTGTCGAATGAGGAAACTCACGCAGCACGTAAGAAATGAAATTAAATTCGAATTCGCGCCTTGTTTCGTTCCGTTACGCAAATTACCAACACCCATACAGGTATTGGTACTTTGCGAAACGGAACGAAACGAGAAAAAATAATTCATTTATATGAAATATTTTTTCAGGAATTCATATCTTATACTCGTTTATGCTTGCATGCACAATAATGATCGCAAGGATTCGAAGTCAACATTGTTTAAGTAATTTGCGACAGCTCGTCAAGTCCATTACTTATTACTGGTACCATGCAACCCTTTACTATAAGTAAAGGCGCAGTTTCTTATTTCTCCATGGCCGAGTGGTTAATGTCGCTGACTTCTAACCATTTGTCCTTCATTGATTTGGTTAGAGCCTCAGTCGGGGCGTTTAATTCATCATGTGGGGAAGCTTTCCAGCTGATTTGAGGTAGGTCGGTGGCTCTACACATGTGCCCTTTCGTGATGAAATCATGCACGCACGGTCACCTGGGTTCTTCCTCCATTCTCCACCGCCCGTGATGAAAAGTCGCCATATGACCTAGAATTGTATCTGTGCAAAGTTAACCCAACAAATAAATTGACATGTAATAGAGTCGCACATGTCGAATAATCCTTAAATGTTATACCTATTATTATAATCTAAATTTTTAATTGTAAATTGTTGTATATTAAAACATAATTTATAATGCTTACATCTCTGTATATGTGTTTTTTTCCCAATTTCATCAATTCATTTAATTGTACGGGCATTTTTCTTTCAACTTTGGGGACCAAAATTCAGGGGGACTGTGCAACTGTTATAATCTAAATTTATCTTGGTGGGGTTATAATAACATTGCAAATTAATTTTCAGTAAAAGATTTATCTGTCATAAATTATATTATTTACCTACAGGCATCTGAGTTTTAGTTGTGAAACATAAAATGATGCATATTTGATAGATTTTGATATTCTTCCTATGCAAAAATAGAAAAAATTGTCTAGTTTAAAAGAAAGGTTATATAAGTTCAATTTTATTATCTCGTATAAAATTACTGTACGTAAAATGTTTTGACAATGCATATAATATACGTCTTTTTTACAAGATAAACTCGTTAAGATCCAAAAGAGAGCTGCAAGACTAATGCTAGACAAAGATTATGACACACCATCTTAAACTATTTTTCTGAACTCCGCTGGATGACCTTTTCACAGAGGGTTTTTGAAAAAGATATTATGATTTTTTAAATAATGAATAATCAGGCGTCTTCCTATTTATTGAATTATTTCATTTTATCGTCAGATGTTCATACTCGCATTTAAAATTGCGTTCATCTTCTGATTTTCAACTTAACACCCCTAGACCAAATACTGAACAATTTCAGCCCTCCAAAAATATCTAAATATCTTACCAGAATTTACCTGAAACGGTCAATTTATAAAAAGAGTGGGGCAGTCTTTTTATATTTAAGGCAGGATATATATTCTATTCAAAACGTTTTCCATTATCGAATGCTGGTCAATCACCATTATAACAGTCAATCTTTCGAAATATGTTGTCAATTTAGTTCAACTTGACGATGAAAATATGAGTATAATGTCACTTTAAGCCGGTGCTAGAGGGCGTGGACGGTAACTTGCACTTTCCAGTACCGTTCATGAACATGCTCAATCAAACCGAGCCTGAGACATTTTCAATTGTGTTGTGTTGGACATTTTTTAGGGATTCTGTTTTTCTCTATAACATTGTATTTGAAACGGCCTTCCTGGTTATATAAAGTCTGCTACATCTGTGAACCATTTCAAAACCTTATACTTGAGATATTATCACACATCGATGTATTCAAATTGATAATCTCCTCTATGTATTTACATTTATGTATTTTAATAGTTTGAACATGGTCAATTTATAGTGTTCCTTGTTGAGGGCCTCATTGAAGATTGATATGTTGTTCAAATAAGTTCTCTCGTTAAATAAAGTCTTTATTATTATTAATAATAATATTATTATTATTATCATCATCATTATTACTAACACTGTCTTAAGACTGAAATAATACTGGCTGCAAATTGTTTTTCTTATTCAGTAAGGTGACATTTTTCATCTGCCAGCACCTAATTAACATAATGTCATATTATTTAATTACTCCCATGTGAAATGCCGATTCCCTTGGAATGCAAGTTGATTGTGTAAGATGGGCCAACTTTGGAGCAACCATGTATATTTAGAAAGAAAAAAAGATTAATTAAATTAATGTAACCTGCACATTTTAAACTTACTTTAAGAGCCTTGTGTGATCTAAACCAAACTAGAACCTAAAAATGTGCCATACATGCGTCATTTTGCAGACCAAAAATATTATGCAATGTAATAATTATAATGGATTAAAATATACATTAATGATGATTTTGTGCAGTATGTTCCATATGTGAAATAACTTTGACACTATTTTGAACACTAAAATACCTGCAGTTACTTTTTTCATGCTGTTTAAAACTGTCCGATATTAATTGATAAGCTGAAGACCAGAACTTTTTTTTCGTCTGCTATTGTATCACTCACTACTGAATTATTTGCTTCTGATGGTTAATGTAAACACTGTCACGTGGGTTTGTTTACAACTGGGATTTCAGAACATCTAAACTACCAATTTGCTCCCCCTCCCCTATCCAGCACATTCAAATTGCTAAGTTGTTTTGCTTTTTTTTTCAGGAAAACATTTTGCAAAATAAATTTAAAAAAGAAATCCTTTGGGCTGTTTTGATAAAGTAAATGTAGCTTATGTCTACAAATTTGCAAATTTTGATGCGATCACATTCTTTTATCATGTTGATAGTTTCAAAAAAGGACCCCGGAATTGTGAAACATTCATTTAAAAAATATGACAGGTCTGATTACTGCACCATCTTATGGTGTTAGGTTTATATACTCCTGTTGGTGCTTTAAAGAAAAATGTTACTACTCTGAGAAGTTTCAATTTAAAAATCAGTTGTTAGATGGAGAATATGTATTTAAATGATAAAAATTTGACCATTTGTCAAATAACAATTGTGAGTTCTTTGTAAAATTTAGTTCAAAGTTAATGTAGCAGTTTCATCTTTCAGATATGCATATATCACCTTAAAGGTAAAAATATTGACTAAATATTACACTACAGAAATGACCAAAATGTCCTACATGTAGTTTACTGATATTTGAAATGTCTGTTACTTGTAAAACAAATATATATTTTCCATAAAGAAATCGAGATTGTCAATAAGTATTCTTTTGATTATGTTGGAGCCTAAAATAAAGTTTGCAAATGTACAACGAAAGCACATGCATTCTCCCAAGTGAGTAATGAATAAAATGGAATTTGTAATATAGAAGTTTAGCAAGTTTTACTTGTAATGGTTTTAAATTGTTGCGCAGGGGAAGTTGCAAATAAAGCAAGCATCCTGGGAGGAGCTACTGATCACTACAGGTCATGCACCTTCAGTAGTAAACAAAAGCACGTACCCGTGATGATCTGCAGCAGACGATAAGAAAACAAAAACATTTTATCAAACTTAATTCAACAGGTTTAAAATCCAATGTGTTTTGCTTCATACATTTGAACTCATTTTATATTGTTTAAAGTGACATTATGCTCATATTTTCATAGTCAAGTTGAGCTGAATTGACTTTATATTTCAAAAGATTAACTGTCAAAATGGTGTTTGACCAACAGTTTATATTAGAAAATGTTTAGGATAAAATTGTATATCTGCCTATAATATAAAAAGACTGCCCCACTCTTTTTATAAACTAAGCGTTATAGGTAAACTCTAAATACCATTGGATGGGCATAATGTCACTTTAAATTGTATAAAATTCACTAAAAGAAATTTCTTTAATGACATTTTGTTATAAATATCGAGTAATGATATATGAGTTTCAATAGAAGTTATAACGATGAGTATAAGATATAAGTAAAATACAATGATGGTATTATTGCAAACAATCCACAAGTCCCCTGCCGGTTAGAACCCCAGCAACATTCTGAAGGGTCATTCGTCATTGAATTATGCCTATGAATGAATGAATGAATGAATGAATGATTGAATGGATGAATGACCTTATATCATTTGAGTTCTAAATTTGTTTATATCTTAGTGATGTAGTAGTGTGTTAAGTCTCCCTGCCTAGTAATGAGATTATGTTTATTCAAGGGAAAATCAGAGAGGATGAACATATAATGTTTCAACTTTTCTCTATTTTAAGTAAATTTGTTGGAAAAGTTCTTTAAAAGTGATCTCAAGAAACAG